AGTCGAACACAACATGCCGCGCATCATCCACCACTCCACACTCAGGACACAAATCGTCTTCGGATTTTCCAATTCTATGGGTGTATTTCCGAAACGATCCGTGTCCCGTCATAAACTGCGTGAAATAGTAGTTGACGCGCCGATGTTGACACCTATACCACCTCACTACATCCGGGACCAGGGACCTCGTCCAGGCCGCCTTTTCGACTTCGGCTGCCCATTCTCTCTGCCACATCTCCAAGCTTCTGTCTCTTTCTTGTGGCCCTGAACCAACCGCCCCGTTGCCCCTCGGATACATTCGAGCTCTCTCCCTGGCCAGGATGTGCACGGGTACAGAACCAGCCACCACCTGTAAGGCAATGGTAGATACAGTTCTGTACGCGCTGCACACCCTGATCAGAGGTTTCCTTTGAGCCCTAGAGAGCATGTCCTTATATTTCTTCATCTGGAGGACCTCATGCCACACGGGGGCCCCGTATAAAATGATCGATAATATTGATTGTAACATAACTGATCTCTTCTGAGATCCAGGCCCCCCTACGTTTGGCATTAATTTGTTCAATGCTAAGGTCCTCCCTTCCGCCTTTCGACATGCTTCTTGTATGTGCTGCCCAAAGGTAAGTCGGTCATCGAAAGTAATACCGAGATACTTCACTGTCCTTTGGGGTCTTATTTCGGAGCCTTGACATTTGAACACTAAGTCCTCCCTTTTTCTTGGTCCTCTTAGAATTATTATCTCTGTTTTGTCTACTGCTAATTTTAAGTCGTTTTTCTCGATCCACGCCGCGGTCGTGTTTATTGCTTAATTTACCTTTTCTGTTATGCCCCAATTCATATCATCCTCAACCAGTAGGGCTAGATCGTCTGCGTATGCTATCGCTTTGACTCCTTGTCTCTGCTTGTGAATTTCTAGTACCCCATTGTATAACATGTTCCAGAGTAAGGGTCCCAGGACTGACCCCTGGGGTACTCCCGCGGTCATTTTTTTCTTTTTCTTCTTGGATATGCATACGGGTCGTTCAGAAAGGTAGTCCTTTATTATATTGGACATATATTCCGGAGCCCCGCTTTCGACTATTCGGTCTACTATGAGGCCCCAGTTTGCTGAATTAAAGGCATTTTTTATGTCTAACAGAACAAGAACCACCCATCTTTTCTTGCTTGATTTGGCCGCGTTCCTTATCCAGGTCGCGGCGTCGTTTGTCGATCTGCCTTTCCTAAATCCGTATTGTTGGTTGGATAAGACTCTCTCATCTTCAAACATACCTTCCAGTCTCTTCTTGATAAGTCTTTCATAGAACTTACCAAGGCAGTCCAGAAGGCATATTGGCATAAGAGGTTGGTGAATCAGGGGGTTTCCCGGGTTTTAAAAGTAGAACCAAGTTTGCCTCCTTCAAATCCCTGGGAAACTCTTGTTTCTGCAGTAGATCATTAAATATTCTTCTGATCAAACCTGGTTTCTCAGTTGCTACTATCTTTATTGCCTCTGGTGGCAGCCCGTCAGGGCCGGGAGCTTTCCCTGTCTTCGTATACTGGCCAGCGGTTTTCACCTCCTCTTCTGTGAACTCCTCTAGCATGGTTGGGAAAACCTTGGTGAAATATTGTATATCTTTGTTGGGAAAGATGAGTTCAGCTGATCTCATCCTCTGGTCTTCGTCGAGTCTCTATGGGGCCATTAGCTTTAAGGTATTCATTGTGATTTTGTATGCGTCACCCCATATATCCTCGTCGAGTGCTTTTATCAGGGTCTGCCACTTTTCTTTTTTCTCTTTTTTTATTGTATTATTTAATATTTTCTTCAAATCTTTATATGTTTCTTTAAGCTCGAGGTTGCCCTGGCTTCTCGTACAATTCCTTCGAGCTCTGAGGCATCTCTCCCGTAGATCTTCTATCTCATCTGTCCACCAATAGGGGGATTTTTTTCCATTTTTCTTCTTCTCGGTAGCCAATTTTGCCGCATTCTGTAAAGCTGTTCGGAGTTGGCCGAGGTCAGAAATCTCATCTTCGCTTATTTTTCTGACCTCCGATAGGTACTTGTTTTTGTTAAAATATGATTTTACCGTACCTATCGACCGCTTTATCCCCCCTTTAACCTTTACCTCAAATTGTATATATCGGTGGTAGGTAAAGAGCTGATCGTCGAGTACATCCCACCCGTACACCTTCCTGGATAGCCCTTCGCTCGCGAATGTGATGTCGATGTGTGATTGGCTCGCCCCTCGTACGAAGGTTGGCTTATTGTTGTTTAGCACTTGGAGGCCTGCATGGGCTATCCATTCATTCCAGAGTTCCCCCTTTTTGTCGTTTATGGGGGAGCCCCATTGTCTAGACTTCGCATTTAGGTCCCCGGCGATCAGTATTTGTTTTTCGTTTATAGCGGCACCCATTATTTCATTAACGATTGTTTCGTATCTCATCATAGGGATATTTGGAGATACATAGCATGCCAGGAGACAGAAATCCCTCAACCTAATGAGTAAATAATTTCCTCCCCTTACAATGCTGTGCACTCTGACATCCCTATTTTTAATGAGCACCGCTACATTTTTTCCCTCGTCTTGAATCCACCCACCACCTGTCGCTATCTTTTTGTTAGGTTCGGGTACGATGAGCAGATCTATGTTTAGCTTGCAGGCTTTTGCGTAGATGAGGTCGTGAGCTCGGCGCGCCCTGCCTACGTTCACCTGCAAAATCTTTATACCAGGTTGATCTTTGGGGTTCATTATGGTTCAGTTCCCTGAGGTCGCTTCTGCAGTGGATTCGCGTCTTATATTAAACTTAAAATTATTATAGACTAGGATAAAAAATAAATAAGTATAGATAAAATCAGTGTATAAATAAAAGTTTTATAAATATATGTATAAATAATATAAGTATAAATAAAATATATGTATAGATAAAATATATAAATAAAATAAGAAATATGTGTATATATAAAAATTTTAAGTAAATAACGTATGTGAGTATATAAATATAATAAATTGCATTTAATAAATAACGTGAGTATAATATTATAATACTTGGATGCCTTAATCCATGAAAAGCTGAGGGAGATGGCTTCCTGTCCCGCCGGTGGGCTGTATAGGGGCCCACTCGCGTTCTCCAGGGAGCCACCTCTCGCTTTTTTGCTTTTCTTGTTGCTTGTTCATCTAAGTTATATTTAAACTTTGAGGGTATACAAGGCAACTATCGAACACGGTGATTAATTTAATCTTGCCCAAGCGCTTTCGATCAATAGATCATCTTCAGGGGCATCTGAAATAAGCCAAGAAACGTTTTTTATAAACAGGAAAATTAATTCACTTGGATAAAAAACTCCAAGTTTATGGTTGAAAAAAAAAAAAATTTTTTATATGTGATAAACGTTTATAGACTTACTTCGTCAATTGTGGACTATCCGACATACTAGAATGTCATAAATGTAAAAACTGGACATAACACAGTTTTGTCACATACAGAATGTCACAAATTTACATTTATGACATTCTAGTATGTCGGATAGTCCACAATTGACGAAGTAAGTCTATAAACGTTTATCACATATAAAATTTTTTTTTTTTTTTTTTTTTTTTTTCAACCATAAACTTGGAGTTTTTTATCCAAGTGAATTAATTTTCCTGTTTATAAAAAACGTTTCTTGGCTTATTTCAGATGCCCCTGAAGATGATCTATTGATCGAAAGCGCTTGGGCAAGATTAAATTAATCACCGTGTTCGATAGTTGCCTTGTATACCCTCAAAGTTTAATTATTCGAACATTCAACCTTATATTAAGTTATATTTGTCTACTGCAGTATTATTTATATCTTCTGAATTGGCTCTTCTTTTTTTTCTCTTTCTACAATATGGATGTGCTCGGCAAAGTTATCATATTTTTCATCCTGCACAGGGAAAAAATTTGGATCTGCAATACTATCATCTGATGAAAAATCTAATAGAACCTGAATTTCATTTGGAAGTGATGCAGCAACTCTACTTGCGTAGGACATCTCAGACTCATATCTGGCATGGTGCTCTAAAATGCAACAAAAATAAAATTAGTTAATAAAATTTTTATTAGCAAACAACAAAGGAACGACACTAAATGCGCATTTTGTTTTTGTTCATATTTCTTCCATAGTTTTTATTACGTACTTTTAATTATACGTTAATTTAATAACGTTACTTTTACTAAAATTATTTATTATTTACCAGAAGGAAAGGTTTTTTGCATTGGTATAATCCGTTCCAAGTAATTGTCAGCATTTGTACATCTTATATTGCAATTTTCTAATACAGTTTCCTTATCGCAAAAATATATACGAACATTCTCTTGTTCATCCGAAAAACAATATTCCATTTGTTTTATTTATTCTGTGTACAATACATACAGAAACAACTAGATAATTCTAGATTACAGTAAAAATATTGTACAACTACCAGTAGAAAATAAATTTTGCTTTTACTTACCATCGGCATTAAGCATATTTAGAATTTGTTTTGCTCTAGACATGTTTTCATTTTCACTTATTATATTGGTATTACTAAATTTAAACAAATATTTTTATTTTGCAATAATAATCACAACTATGACTCGTGTTGCATATTAATTTATAGGTTATGTGTGTTAAGTTGGTTGCTATTTACATTAAAAGCTAACCGTGAATAAGGGTCCAAGTCAAATTGTCTCATTATTCACTAAGAGAAATACTGATATGGACAGTGCCAAAAGGAGTATGTTAACATATCCCTCTTCACACTAAACTTTATGTACAATTTTGTAAGTGTCTCTTTTGGAACAATCAACTTTACATACAAATTCAGCTACACTGACTAGTCCCCTTTTACACACCATTAAAACGTACTTTTTTAACCTATATTTGAGTTAATCCCGTCAAAAATTGACTAGTCTCTTTTTCACATCCAACAGCGAATTAATATTATTGAAAGTAATTTTTTACAAGTACTAAAACTTCTGAAGTAATTATAATTTAAATTACATATTTATTTTTAATATTTCAGATACTTCCATACCCGTTAGTAATTTGAATAAGAAAAATAAAAATCACCAACACATACACAAGCTACTGATTTCATCTAATTTAATATTTGATTTTCACAGTGATTTAAAGGTAAGTGTCTACTTTATGCAAAAACAAAATAAGTAGTGGTACATTTTAAGATGATGTTTATCCGAGAATTGTATTTTCATATATTTATGTAGCATTTGATTGTAACATATAAGCGTCAAATGGACACGGCTAAGGTAGGCAATTCACTAATTCCATCCACCTCTGTTTTAATAAAGTATGTTCTCCGTACTCCTCGGACGTCCTAATTATGTCATCATGTTCGTGTATATATTATTATAATTTTGAAATTAATTAGAAAATTAAATAAAATTTCTAGTTTAATGAATTTCAATATAATTAACGAACAAAAAAAAAATTAATGAGTTTTATAAATAATTATGTCGCACCATCAACGCAAGACTACCACAACTCAAAAATTACCATTTTTGGTTTTTGATGAATCTGTAATGGTAATGGTTAGTCTAATATAATGAAAGAGTATTATAACTCAAAATGATTAAGGGTTAGTTTAGTTTTAAATTTATTCGAAATGAAATAACTTATGGGTGCAAGACTATCACTATTTAGTTATGATAGTATTGTATTTAATACGGTACCCAGAAAACTCTGCAAGACTATCACAACTCCAACGCTGCTAGATTTCGAGGCCTAATTAGGGTTTAATATGTATTATTATTAGAACGTCGTGTGAGTGTAGTTTTCAATTGTTCTATACTTTACTTTTAATTTGTTATTTTTATTACTAAAACCACAGAAAACAACCCAAAATGAATGGAAAAGTGACCACAAGATGTAGAAAATAAGTAGAACTCGGAGCAAAAGCACAGAAAGTAAGTATAAATTAGGTATTTTTAATTTTATATGTAAATGCATTTGTGACAAATATAAAATTGTAAGGTTATGTTAATACGGTTATCCATCTATGTCACATTATTCTAATGGAATATTAGGAAAGGAAACATCCTAATTGTTTTTATTAGTTCACAATATTTTAACGAAAAAGAGATAAAATTGCCATCGGTTTCTTGTCATTCAGCATTTTTACATACATGAGTATAAGTTTTTGTTTATGTTTATGTTTAGAAATTGTAGATATTATGCACGAAATTCATATTGAATTACACTATTATATAAAGCTGTAATTGGAGATTGCATAAAATATTCATCTTCATGTTGGAAGGTATATTATTTGTAGTGGTAATAAATTGTACCATTAATATTTCGTGAAAAATATTTTAGGTTGTGTAATCATTTATGGGGTACTACGACTAACATTTTTACAATAATTTTATGCAATATAAAATACCTATAACATAATAAAATTATACCTTTAATTTTTGAATGATAATTATTGAAAATAGTTGATATTAAATTCGGTTGTTTTTTTGTTACAGTTAAGGGATATGAAAGAAAAAATGAATGAATGTATTATTGAATCCGAGGATATGACTCACGTTAAACCAGTGTTGCTGTCATGTAGTCCTCATGAAGACTTTAATTATGATGCTAGTGATACAGGTAGCCCTAAAATATATACTACTTTAGACAATGCACTGAATAATAGTGATATATCTCAGAACGAAAATGACGATAGCGATGATCCAAACTGGGTAAATATTCCTGAAGACATTGATACGTCCGATACTAAAAACGAACATTCAGATCAAGATTCACAATCAGAAAATGATGACAGCAGTACTCAACAAAATGTAATAACTGACTTACAAAGTACATCAGCAGAACAAACGAATGATGAGGCAAATGATGTTATGAACAAAAAGCCACGTAAAAGAATTTGTAATCCGTCTAAATGGAAGCGAATTATAAAAAGAAATAAGTTAAATTCTGGTCAATTTTATGTGAATTCATCAGGTAAGCCAATTAGCAAGAAAACTTGTAAAACACCATGTGGTAGCAGTTGCCGTTTAAAGTGTACCTCTAACATCAATAATGAAGACAGGAAAAAAATTTTAACTAGTTTTTATTGTTTGAATGATATTACCAGGAGGGGGGATTTTATTGTAAATTGTATCAGCCAGATTACACCAAAATACGAATATAAGAAGGAAAGAAGTAACAGATCAAAAAATTTTGCCTTTCATTTTGTTGTTAATGGAGCTAAAGTTAGAGTATGTAAACACTTTTTTGTTAGTACTTTGTCTATTAGTACTATGATGGTAAGGACTGCTTTAAAAAAATTAAATACAGGAGGCATGGTTGAAAGTGATATGCGTGGAAGACATGGTCATCAAAAATCGACCAGTACTGCCATATTAAAAGGTATCCGTCAGCATATTGAATTAATTGCAAGGATTGAATTCCACTGTTTAAGGGTAAAAACATCTCGAGAATACATTGATGGAAGCCTTAATTTGGCTACTCTATATAGGATGTACAAAGAAAAATGTGAGGAACAAAACGAACCTTATGTTAAACAGCCTATTTATGCAAAAATATTTAATACCGAATACAACATTGGTCTATTCAAACCTAAAAAAGATCAATGCAATTTATGCCAGAAGTATGAAAATAGCTCTCCAGAAGAAAAAAAATTTAAGGATGAGGAATATAAAACTCACATTAGACAAAAAAAACAAGCAAGGACCGAAAAACAGAACGATATAGAACAATCAAGAAAAAATCAACATAAAAGCAGTGTTCTAGTGTATGATTTACAAGCTGTATTACCAACTCCTTTAGGAAAATCTTCAGCATTTTATTATAAAAGTAAGCTAAGTACTTTAAATTTTACTGTTTACAATATTACAAATAGAGAAGCTATGTGCTATGTGTGGCATGAAGCCATAGCTAATAGAGGTTCAAATGAAATTGGTAGTTTAGTATTTAGTTATCTAAAAGACTATTGTGTTGATAAAGAAACAGCAATATTTTATTCTGATAACTGCTGTGGACAGAATAAAAACAAATATGTTTTTGCTATGTTTTTATATGCTGTTAATGTATTACAAATTTCAACAATCTATCATAAATATTTAACAGTAGGACATACCCAAAACGAGGGCGATAGTGTTCACTCAACTATAGAGAAAGAAAAAGAAAGAATGCTTAGGAGTACCTCTATCTATGTTTTGTCTCAATGGGTTCCAGTTATCGCACTGGCAAAGAAAAAAGGTAAACCATAATCCACCATCAAAGTCCAGACTGAAAACGTTTACGATTTAAAAAATCTTAGTGCAACAATGGGTAAAAATTATTCTATTGGCACAAAAGGGCAAAAGGTCTGGTGGAATGAAATAAAACTTTGTAAATTTGAAAAATGCCATCCAGAGGTCGATATTTTATAAAACTAACTTTGATGACAAAGAATTTTCTGAAATAAAAATTAGAGACAAAGCTAGAGGCCCTCAGAAAACAGTGGCTGATATTAGTCTTTTTCCTGCTTTTAACGTACCACGGCGATAACAACTAAGAAAAGGCCTACTTAGTTTCATTGTGTAATGACTTGGCCATTCCCAAAGAACATCATAAATTTTACATGGACATGAAAACAAAATCAACTAAAGTGATGGAGGACTATGCCAATACGGAATGAAAATTACTATTATGTATCCACTATTCTGTTTATCATTAATAAAGTGTACTAAAATTATGGTGTTGTTATTGTTAACGTATTGTAATGTATATATTATGTCAAAACTGCCTTTCAAATGATCAAATTTTACCCGTGCAAAACTATCACAAGTTGAAATTATATGAAAATAATTATTTACAAAGTTTTAATTTATATTTTGTATATAGTAATATGAAAAGTAAAAACTATTAGAAACTCACAAAAAAGAATAACTACAATAACTTTATTTTTAAAAGAGTTATTGAAAATTATATTTTAGACCAAAATGAAATTGTTGATTCTGTAAAATGCGACTTTTTGAGGTGATAGTCTTGTATTGATGGTGCGATGTATCTGGATAATTTTGGTTGAAGACGCCAAACTATTAATTAGATTTTTATTGAATCTCAGGGTTCTCATTTGAGTTTAGACATATCTTTGTTTGCAGCTAGTGTTCGATAATAAACAAGAGCATAAGGAAATAACTTAAATTTGTTCTATACAATTCATGTTATTATGTTATATTAAATGATAAAACCCCTGTTATCCCTTTTAACTTATTTATTAAAAAAATATTACAAATTTCAGAGAATTATTATTTAAACAAATATCAGATAATACTTTAAAGCAAATTAACAAAAAAACCTCAAAAATTTGTTTTCTTATTTGCTTACTTTCAATTCTGAAATGCCCTCAATATTCCTTTGGTCTCTACCCAAGTATTTTTTGCTTTCTCTCCTACTAGTTCCAGGAATCGGCAGATCACCAATTTTTCGCATTGGGTGATTAATGTCTCTACTTTGATGAATATCTACATTCCTACATTTATCTTTCTTTAGTTTCGTAAATCCTAGCTAGTCTTATACCTGTTTTGTAGAATTTTCCCTTTAGCTTAATTGGATTGGATTTTACGGCATACATCTCCATCTACACAGATAACCATCTCGATTGATGGTAGTGAATTACCTGGATAAGTGGAAAATAAAAACTCACTTATCTCTGAAGTTTTGAGGAAATATGCAAATTCTAAACTCCCAAAAAACCGAATGGATGTACAGTCTTAAAAGAGCTTGAAAACCTGAAAGAATAGTAACTGTTCTTAGTTACCCCATTACTCTGTAACACCGTTCCTGGGTAATTAAAATTATAACCTATTTGCATACCATTGTTTATATAATCTTTTCTTCTCTTTTATTTTTTCTTGTAACATTTTTTTTATATAATTAAAATATATTTGCTGTACAGTATAGTAATATATATTATATAATGCTGTATATTATAGTAATTTGCTGTAAGAACCTAATCCAAAAGATTTTATTTTCCTCGCGTTTCAAATTACTAGTACCGTAATTACCTCGAACCTTCCGATGTCATTAGAACCTTATATTCTTAGAAATACCTACAGGCTAGCCTGTCATTTTCCCCACCTTTTTTTGAGTAGTTTTGTAGATTGTGAGAGGAAAAATTATTACTTCTGGTAGGACAGTCTTTGCGTAAGGATGTTCGCCATATCTTAGCGTCTCTGTTCTCTGTGAATTTTTGTAAGAGTGTTTACACTTACATATTTGCGTATCTTAATCTAATACCACATTAGATTAAATATTGGTATAGAGTACCTTTTAATTTTAATTAACTTCAGTGCTTGATACAAGTAAAGTATTATAGTAAAGTGTATTAAATTCAGTGCAGTGTAGCAGTCACCTGGAATTACTGTAAGTTATCATAATCATAGTATCTTCAATTATCTGGGCAAATAATATGGTATGTATTCATATTATCCTCAATAATCTGAGCGAATTCAAGGTCAACCATTTCTTTACCTGTAGTTAAGGTTAACTACCGATTTAACAATTGAATTTAAAGGACATTTAATATTGTCTTACGAACCTTCCATCAGCTATTAAGAACTTCTAATTTACGAACATTTGATTCTCAGTTAATCATCAAATAACCGTGCCAAATAAATAATTAACTAAAACCAAGTGCGGGTTGGTCTCTCAAAGAGAGACTTTCTTTAATCAACTTCAGTTGAATATTCGCTGATAATTTAAACTGTGCATGATTTTGATATTTTATATTTGTAAAGGTATTTATTATTCATAAAACTGTTTATTTTTATATGTATATCACCATTTAATAATTGATAATGTATTTTTATTACTTGTGTGTATCTTCAGCCGACTATATCATTGTGTTGTTGAATATATTGTTTTTGTTTTATGTATTAATTTTTTTTTGTCGACTCCTAACAAGTTTCCTGATATAACAATAACTCTGAACATTTGCTGTTTATCTCAATTATTATTACACCATCGACCAAGAGAAAGATCAGGCTCATTTAGTTTCGTAGATAAGTAAGTCTACGAAGTCCACCTAATATTCTTAATATTTGTTTATATAGTTTGTCGACCAAATTTATTTAATAATTATATATTATCGTGGTTTTGGTTTCTGAACCTATATATCTTTCCTTATCTCTTTTCATTTCTAAGGTATCTTAATTTTCTCCCTAAACTCCAAAAAGTTAAGTGATGCCCTTTTCCTATTTTATCTTATCTTTGGTAATTTTACCCATCTATCTTTTTGTTTATTTCTGTATCTTTTCTAATATATCTTATATTTTCCTATCTTCACTTATTTCGTCCATTGGACCCATTCCCGGTTCCAAAAGCTACTATCTAACCCACGACTCGCTCTCCACCAACCATCTGGCTGCCGTTCACAGTGTCTCGATTGGTGACCTTTCTAGCACCATCCAAAAAAAGGTTTCCGAGGTTACATTCTTGAGCTTCGTTAGACCACCACTAGGTCTTTTTATTCTTAAACTTTTTTGCCGCCGTCTTTCCAAGTATTTTAATAGCAGTATTTCTAATGATAGTGGCCGCAAACTGTATTAGGACTTCCTTTCATGTTCCAACACATTTTTTCTAATACTTTTGCCCTGGATAGACCTTCTTTCTCATTTTTAACATTCAACTTTTGCTTTTTTGTTGTCCTCTTCGATATTTTGGTTTGGTTTTGCTTTTTACTTTGATGTCCAGTAGAAGCAACTTATGTTATTAGCTTACTGTCTCACGAGCTATCACGTTGCAGTCCTTACATGAATCTTCTTTTCTTTTAATTGTGATTGATTTTGTC